ATGCTTCCCTATTGTAACTGAGACATGGATTTGTCGGCACATTCAACAGTCTCGGACGAGAAACTGGTCTAAGACTGTTCAACACATGATGGCGCCACCGGCCGGCTCATCTAACTTCTTTCTCTTCTATTCCATGCATGCGCATTAGGTGTTCTAGTCAAGAGACAGACACAGACAATCGAAACGGACCCTGCAGGCTTGCATGAAAGGCCAAGCCCGATACCTAGTCGATGTTGGCAATCTCCAGATGGTGTCGGTGTGATCAGCGGATAAGGTGGTCCTCGATATGCCAGCAATCGATCTCAGTCGTTGGGAGAGGTCTAGAATTTTGTGCAATGCTTCGTTATCTAGGATCAACGCACGACGTCCGCCGTTCCGCTTTTTCGGCACGCCACGGAAGAGGATAATGGCGGATAAGACGGCCTTGCGGAGCCCCAAGATCCAAGGGGCTGTACGACGAGATACCTATCACGTCGTGCAAAGAAAGGCATGAAGCTGTGTTACGCTGTACCCGAATGTGCTCTCCATTCGGAATCTCGGCGACTAGGAGGGGCAAGGTCTATTTTCGGGTATGACTTTATTTAGGGTACCTCGAAAAAGACGTGCTAATACGGCCCATCGTAGCAGCATCGAAGTAGGTATTGAGTCAAGACCGCCCGCCTTATCTTGGCGTTGGTTGGCAGCTGCCCGACGGCGACGGTGTGGCTTACAAGTACACGTACACCGGTCTAAACCTCCCGCGATAAGGTAAGTCGGCCAGAGCACGGCCACGATGTCGCAGGAACGGAAGAACGAAAACTGGGGGTACTACCTATGTGACGTAGAACCTCAACTTGCGCAGAGTTTTGCGATGCACGTCGCACATCGTTCATCCGATGCTCATCCGATGCTCATCAAGGCGACATGAACGCCAAGCGCCAATGGAACGTATGCGATATGGCACATGTTGTTTAGCGCTATCGCAGCAAAACAGAAGCGCGGCCTTCAGGGTGTCACCCTTCAATGCCCTTCTGTTGCACGTCGGAACAGGCCCTGCTAGGAAAGCTTGTTCGACAAACCGGTGAGTTGGACCTCTGTTTACACGTCAGTCAAAGCTCAAATACGGGGAGAATTTTTCCAATGGTTTTCTTGGCTACCTGACTAATGCTAAGGTGTAACGGCATTTCCCGCAGACACAGGCAGTTGCCACCGTTTCGATAGAAAAGTCGTCATCCGGTTTCAAATACCACGGCTCGATTGTGGCGCTGCAAGACTAGCTAAGTGGGCCTCTGGCGATAAAGACCCAACAAAGGTCTTGTACGTGTAAGTGCTTACGTTGTTCTGTACAGTATTCTGTAATGGGCAAAGCTATCTGGATTAGACTAGTTCATGTTGTAAGAATGAGTCCAAGAATGTTAGATATCAAGTCAGAATATGGATTTGGCCCGGCACTTCAGGTAGGCGGTAGGTAGGTGACTCTCAATCAAGCATCATATGTGCCTAACTGAGTACCTATTTGAAGACGCCCGGCCGATTGGATTGCATTCCTTCGTCATGTTTTGTATGCAACACCCGTCCCTCCCCTGGTCCAAGGTCTGGCTCTTTAGGCACTGGGCCAAGATCACCTAATGACAGCCAAATGGGCCAAGTGCCGCTGTCACTTTTAGCGCTTCATGCCTTCTAATTCCGAGGCCCGCTAGCTGGTTAGGCCTGCTAGGGTCCGCCAGTAGAGGGCCCCGTCGGGCTGCATTGGTAGGCACGGCCCTTGCAGCTGCCTGGAAGGACCCGCTCTTCCCCTGGAAGTTGAAGTAGTTGACAATTTAACCCTGTGCGGCTCCTGTCGATCGTAACGCGCCAAGCTGATAAGACGAGGCTCCTGTCGAAACCTTCTCTTGGCTCCTAGGTTCTGCCTACTCGTAGGTCGTTGGGTTGTTAATGTCTGACGATCCTTGGTCTAAAACGTCCAAGGGAGAGGCTCTGCAATGGGTTCAGTTAATGAGTATAATTTGCAATACAATAGGTATCATCAGTCGTAATTTACCTAGCTAAGCAAAGTTTTAAGTGGAATAAATGTTAGGAGTAGAAAGGAACTGTGGACTGTTCTTATTGCACCTGCCAATGAGCACACATACAGTGTTTGAAGCCATTACAATACTCATATGGCACCGAAGGTAGGTATTCTCCCTTGGCCCTTTGCTGTTGCCGACGATTCGCCACAACCCTCCAGGTACCACAATTCTGACCGATCTCTCAGAATCTTCGACTGCTCGCCAGCAGCTCTGAATCACAATACCGTCTTCTGTTTTACACGTACATGGGCATATGTTTGTTGTTATCGATATTCTACGTGACGGAACTCGGCTCATCCCGAATGACTGATCTCTTTACTAACAGCCACAATGATATCAGTTGTACTCTGTGCCGTCATGAGTAGGTACGATAGAGGCAAACTTAGAGGGCCTTGAAACATTGGCCATGCATGAGGATCCATTTTAACCGCGGCGGGTCCGGCTCTGAAGACTTGCGGGCCATCCAGCACAAGCCTCACAGATCGTCAAAGCGACCCAATATTGATGCAAACCTCCTCTGGCATCAAAAAAGACCCAGTAACTTTGCTAGACTTGGCCACGGTCAGTTCTTGGCAGTCGAGCACCAAGATTATAGACGTACTTTTGAGTTCCACTTGCCTTGGACTTGCCTTGCCGGTGGGTTGAGACTTCTACAGGTTCTCTGACTGCAGTCGCGCTTTCCTTCGACCTTAAGAATGGTTTGTATCCGTCTCCGGACTTGGATTCTAAAATCAGAAAATCACGCTCGTTCCGTCTTCGTTTCTCACCTTTTGTTCGATATCCGGAGCTACTATTAGGGCTCGGGCCATTTTTCGGAACACTCTTTTATTGCCTACTTGTTAGTTTGGCCTTTCCTGCTTTAACATTTGTGGAAACAAACCCGCATACTATCGAAAATAGTCATGGCGATAGAAGAGAGACAGGAGCCGGCGAGGCTGTCCCCAGAGCATACGAAAATTATCTTTAATGCCATGTCTGCTTCGTCAAGTACGCCCAGAAACTTAGCCAACGATATACCACTCATTTCTATGACAAATGATGGTTCCGATGGTAGACCAGGCACTCCATTCGACGACACACCTACCGCTGTTAACTCCAGACGGCAGAGCTTTTCCAAAGATGTGGAGAGCCAAAATAATCAGATTAGTGTGGACATAAACGATCCCAATAGGCCCAAGATCGGACTGCGTGAGCGGATGCACCATTTTACATGGGCTTGGTTCACATGGCCGATGAGCACGGGAGGACTTTCGCTTCGTGAGTAGCGCACCCTCTTTCCTTTTCACATATCCGGCGACGTGGTCCACGATTTGCGTGGCATCGCTATCAATTCTGGTACAACTTGGACGAGACTAACCGGGGAAACCCCTGTTCACAGTAATATATGCCCAACCATATCAGTTTCCCGGCCTACGCCAAATAGGATTTGCCGTGTATATTCTGAACCTTATCATCTTTGTAACGCTCGTGGCGGCGATGATTACTCGGTTCGCTTTACACAAAGGCGACCTACGGAAGTCGATAACGCACCCTCGTGAAGGCTTCTTCCTGCCCACCTTCTTCTTGGCCGTAGCAACCATCATCACCAGCACGGAGCGCTATGTCGTTCCCGAAAACGATGCGCCTCTCCGTGCATTTATCCTCATTGCGTTTTGGACATACCTCTTAGCGACTCTTGTGCTGGCTATTAGTCAATACAGTTACATATTCGCTCATCTCAAGATCCAACAGCACACAGTTATGCCGACTTTGATGCTGCCCATCTTCCCGTCCATGTTGTCAGGAACTATTGCATCTGTCATTGCAGAAACGCAACCAGAAATTGCTGCCATTCCCATCATTGTCGCCGGGCTCACATGCCAAGGTCTAGGCATATCAGTTGCCGTCCTGGTGTATGCCCAGATGATAGGAAGGTTGATCCAATCAGGTATGTCGGCATTTGAAACAATGCGTTTTAACTCCGAATCATAAACGCCGATCCACTAACTTTTGGTTTGTAGACCTCCCAAACAGGGAACACCGACCGGGTCTCTTCATGAACGTCGGACCCCCGGCCTTCACGGCGTTGGCATTTATCGGCATGGCGAATGGGCTTCCCGACACCTTTGACCACAAAGGCGATGGCATATTAGACGCCAATGTAATCCGCACGCTTGCCGTCATCGCCGCTATATTCCTCTGGGCTCTCTCGTTGTGGTGGTGGGCCATCGGAGCCGTTGCCGTCATCAGCTCACCGCCCAAATACTTCCATCTGGGCTGGTGGGCCATGGTGTTTCCCAATACTGGATTCATCCTAGCCACCATATCCATCGCCAAGGAATTGCAAAACGTATACGTACTACGGTTCACGTCAGCGCTTTCCATCATCCTCGTTTCAACATATTTGTATGTGCTGGTCAACCAAATCAAGGCTTTCATCAAGCAGGATATTATGTATCCTGGCCGAGACGAAGACGTGGAGGACCATTGAAGAAATTTGGAGGGGCAAAAGAAGATTGCGTCCTCTCGCGTTCGTTTAGGTTTCAAGATGCATCCGATCTTGTCGTTCACCGCCGCATACCCACCACTATCTAATCAGCCTTGCCATATTAATCCTGTTTAATCATCGCTGGCGATATTCCCAACATTCGTTATTGTTGGTTTCCCTTTTACTTTTGAACGCATATCAATGCATAGACGGACGCGGTATTCTTCCTCATTTCTAACATACCTACACATACATATACCCATAATTACAGCTCAGACGCTCACACCATGAGCAATTCTACATCTAGATATACGTAATAAATTATACACGTTTTTTTCTCTGCCAAACTATTACGACATTGACTAGATTATCGTGTGACTACGTACTCAACCCTGTCCATCCACAATCCGAGATGACTCGCGTAGCGTCAACTCACTCATCCTGACATAGCTTACCTTACGGTATGGATCGTCAACAACGTCACTGCCCGGTTAGCTCAATCGGTAGAGCGTGAGACTCTTAATCTCAAGGTTGCGGGTAAGTCATGGAAAATAGTATGGTCGGCCACGAGCAAACCGAAAAACTAACAGAAGTTGAATAGGTTCGACCCCCGCATTGGGCTCAATTCCTGATGCTCCCTGACTCTGTAGGGACTCAACCATCTTTTTTTTCTTTCTTTTTCTGGCTGTTGTGTCTTTCCTACTATACCTGCACGGACTTCCTGGTGTTCTCTTTTATACAGTACTGTAACCTATATCTTTTTAGGTGTAATAATAATTATGTTTGTCATCGACGGCATTTGTACTCGTACTCGTTGACCAAAACAATTGCGCATTGTCGACCTTTTGTAAAGAGAATGGTTTCTGCAACCGTCACATACTCGTGGACGATCTTGGCCTCAAAAGTACTTGGACAAAGCATCTCATGTAACACACCAGGCACAAAGAGGCCTTGCTCAAACAGATGATTTAACCTGCAGTTTACACATTTACGAGTAGTCTATCATGAGAGATACATCCCTTTTTTCTGAGCAATGGAAGAAGCTATTTTTGGCAGTGTACTTTATTATTTTATCTACTGTGATGACATGGGTATGTCGGGGCGTAGGCCTCGGTACATGCATGAGTTGGGTATTACCTGCAATTCAAGGGTAGCTAGCCTCCGTCCAGGGGGCGGGGTGTGGTGTGAACCTCTATATCCTTTCCTCATTATCATTCCCATCATCCCATCCGGTAACGCCATCCATGAAATTACAAGTCCCGTTGTTCCCTCCATCATTACCTCGAATGACAAGCTGTTGTTGACATATAGGTAAGGTGTAAAAGATTTTCCTCCTCCCACAAGACAAAGTCGATTCAATTTCCACCGCTCTAACCAGACTTGTTCTTATCCTGAGCCAATTCCTTGAGCGCCTGGCTTCCCCACTGCGTCTGGTTAAGCGTGAGCGCGGAATAGACGTTCAAGAACCCATGGGCATAGCCGAAAAGGATGGACGCGGGCACGTAGACGAGATCCTGCGGGTATCGGCAGAAATGCGGCACAAGCTTGACAATCTTGAGGAAGAAGATCCAAATGGCGAGAGCCAGATAGCAAGCCGTGGCGTCGATGTCCATGTCGCGAATCATGTAGCGCAGAGCAAGGAAGACGAGCAAGTCCCAGATGAGCGAGGGAGTCTGGAACTGCGAGGCGTAGATGTAGTAGAAGCCCCAGATGTGGCGGGGTGAGAACCAGTATGTCTCGGTGGACATGACTGTGAAGTTTCCCCGCCAGTGGGCGCGGGCCCAGCGGAGACATTGCGCGATGTACAGGTGTCCGGACTCGACTGTTGTCTCGATGGTGGCGCGACGGTCGGGTTGGATGGCGATTTTCCAGCCTTGGGCGTAGACGTACCGGGTGAGGCACTTGTCGTCGTCGGAGTTGAGCCGTTGGCCGTTCCAGGAATCGTTGCGGAAGTAATCCATGAAGTCTTCAGATTGGAGGATTTTGGTGCGGTAGGCTGCTGTTCGGCCGGAGAGAGTGGAGATGGAGCCGTCGAGGACATTGGTGGCGAGATTATTCCAGACTCGACGCTCGAGGTAGCCGATTCCGAGGAAGTTCCAGAAATCAGGGTTGTCGTTGCGACGGACGCGTTGACGGGGGCCGCCTGCGCCGACATTGGGGTCCTCGAAGACGGCGAGGAGATAGTCGAGGAAGCGAGGGGGCCAGAAGACGTCGTCGTCGGCAAGGACACTGATAGGGGTGCGAATCTCGGGCAAGACCTTGAGGATCTGTTCGCGCTTATGAAGAGCTGGGATGCCGAGGACTTTGACTTTGATGGAGTTATCACGACAGTACTTGGCAATATTGTCGACGTTAGCATCAGCCGTGACGATGAGGATGGCGGCAGGGGAGCAGGCCGTGATAGTTTGCAGACACTTGAGCAAATTCTCGGGACTCTTAAAGGTTGTTGGGATTACGACCGAGACATCTTGTCCGGTGTACTTGGGTGTCTCCTGGATGGGAATCGGCTTGGAGAGCATGTAAGTCGGGATAGCCACGACTGCTCGGACATACCGAAAGGCAAAGACTCCGGCGAAAAGCGCGGTTGCAGCTGTGTTAGGCATGGTGTAAGTTGACGATGTTGATTCGACAGTTCGTCAGGAGTTCAGGGGTTCAGGGGCGAGAGTGAAGCTGCTTGCAGTCTGAGCTCGGAACTGGTCAAGATGAGGTGGGTGAAGGATAGGAGAGATGGTCGAAAAGGGGGGGAATTTTACGATGTCTCAAGCTTACATTTATACCCATCTTGAGGTCCAAACTGTTGTCTTCATACACCGACGGGCTTTGCATGACAATAGGAGAGCTTCATTGCTCTCAATGATACTGTAACGAGGACGAATATATTGTCAGTGAAACGAATGGGTAGTTTGGCAACACCTTCGTTCATAAACCTACAGTTCGGACATCACAGTAAGACATTCAAGGGACTCTATACATTGCCATTGTGTCAATGGACTATGGCGATGGGTACTGTAGCTTGCCTTTCATGTCAGGCGAGGAACAAAGGGGGCGTCCGAGGCGGGTACGAAGTCGGCTGTCACTACAGCATAATTCAGTAAGAACATGCATATACTTTGTCAATAAACACTCGTACTGTTACGTACGATGGTACTTTACAATGGAAATGGTACTGATGCATGTCTAAGGACTATTTCTATTTACGTGCGTAGGTATTGTTCTGCTCTTGGTGGAGCTAACGCCGACCCCTGAGCAGGATGACAAATCCCGGCATTAGACACCCACCACATTCCTACACAATACAACTGATCCAACCACAGACTCTATTCTCTCTATCATGTAGGTTATTCATTGTGGCCGACAAGGGGTCCAATGGGTTTACCGATGCTACGGCTACCAAGCCTACCCAAGTGATGACGGACGGGCCGACCCGTAGCCGAGCCCGTGGTAATACATCTCAATGTCCCCGACTCATCTCGCTCTATTGACCGCTGTCTGGAAGCATTTGTCATCTTCTACTATATGAAGAAACATGTCTTGTCCCCATCCTATGTCGATTGACAATGGGGGAAGCTACCTAATTGATGGTAGATAGGGCACTTCGCGGACGCATGCAAAATTGAACACTCAGTACCTTACATGGGGGGGGGGGGGGGGTCTGCAGATTTATCCTGGCCGTGCGACGGCCCTACCCTCTCCCCTGTAGCCTCCGTCGTGTCATTGGCATCTTTACTCGCGGCGACTTCCTCACCCCGAGAAATGGCGGGAGATTTGGGTCACCCCAAACCGACAAGAGATCACCATCACCGATTCATGAGCGGTGCGTTCGGCCACAATTCCGGGGGCCTGGGGATGTGACTAGACTACAGACGATATATTCCATCTGATGAGGCGCCACTTGTATAATCACAACATGCCGGAACTTGTGCTTTACCAGTGCAAAAGTTGGCCGTCAAAATGCCTGTGGAATCCCACTTCTTCTCAATGCTATCACCTTCTCCCACCTTATAGCCTATGAGACCTAAGTTAAGTAGGATGCAAGCTAAATCTTACCCCTTAGAACCGCCTCGGGGCAAACCGGCCTTTACCTACCTACTCGGGTGACAGATCCTCCTCGGCCTGAACGGCATTTGCCACAAGTATTTCCCTTTCCTCGGAACTATATACCCCTATCTTAACAAAGCCGTCTGCGAGGGATGTGACAGTTTCCACGAATTCACCATGCGTTGCAAACGGCGCCTGATCCCAGATCAAGTCCAGAAAAGCCGTGCCAGGCGAAATAATTCCCGACACAGGCACGTCATATAAAGGCAACCCGTCGTTGCGCTTCCGGTCCGGCACCCCGGTATCGGTAGCACCAAACACGACACTCGGCTCGACACGTCGAGGGAATGTACAGGTTCACCCAGAGCACTGTATTGTCGGCGGAGCGGAAGTATATGGTTTCTTGATACTTGGTGTGGCTTTCCATGCCAGTACCGCCACAGCATGTCCCCGCGTGATAAGGCATGGATGATCTGGTACTTTCGTACCCCGGATTATTGTCAGGACTAACTACGGGTAGGTGGGGGAGGGGTCAGATAGATGACTTGATAAAGTTGCAATGCAGTAACCCCAACCGACTGGTACAGCTAATGCCGTGACTTGCATCGGCACATATGGCTCGAAAGAGTGCATGTCAGAGGTGGGACCATTCGATACCAATTGATGGAGACGAGACAGCCCAATGCCTGTTGATCAAATACAAATTTAATGGAGTTGAATACTGCCTTTAAAGTTTTTAGTTTCGCATTTGTTTGATAATTAGAGGATTGATGACATTCGGACAACGAAGGCGATGATCTCTTCCGGAGAGTATCGGGAATGAAATTAGGTAGTCGCATACTCGTAGATTGGACATCTATACCACCTCTATACGTGGGATGGGGTATAGCTTAGTTCCTGTCAACCAATGAATAACCCTGGCATGAGCATTTTCAGGCAGCTTGCGGATCATCATAAGACAACATGTGAGTGTGGGCTACTTGTACAAACATCCCCCCTATCTGATAAGAGCCACCCTGAAGAGTGAGACCCTTTATCTAGGTGTACCAATCTGTGATATAAGCCCATTGCGCCTACGAGTAAAGGACGTTACTTTAAATACCAAACACTGTGCATATAGCCCGTCAACGCTTCTATACTCATGCCCTGATATTCATATACTGCAGCCGCCAATCTCAGAGCTACGGTAGCAGAGCTTACTTGGATTGCCGAGGACCAAACTAGTAACATCGCGGTCAACGGCGCACCTGCGAAGCAGACACAGGCTTTACTTACGCACCTTCCGGTCACCAATATTGATATGACGTACAGCAGATACCTGGGTAAACAGCTATAACAAGTAGTTATTATGTTGGAGCGACGAACATCTCACGGATTCTGCAAGTGCCAGGACCTAACGCCTACGGCACCATGCAATTGCCCAAATACATCTTGAAGGCTCCTCCCCTAATAATACCTTACGGGAAAGTGGCAGGCACATGGCTAAAGCGATAGAAAGAACTCCCATTATGTACTTAGACATGAACCAAGCGACAGGGAAACCACCCCCCTCTAGCACAGGTAAGGTAGTCTCCCATCACTTCA